GGATAGAAAACATAAATGGGGTGAAAGAGAGGGCTCGGCCCCAAATTTGAGGGTTAGGTTTTTTGTGTGGTTAAGATCTGATCAATCTAAACCACCAATTGTTGGGGTGCGTTAGATATTTTCATGGCCTTGAGCGAATATATTATTTGATGGTCATAGTTGAATAACGACGTGTAATTAAAACTATAGCTTAAAATGTCCAACAGCAAGCATATGATAACATTGTATGTGTCATGAGTATAATTGTTTTACGTTTAATATTTATTTTATTTTTTAATTTTTTGAGCGTTTACTTATTTGACCTCAATATCGTAGGTAAGATTTTATTTTATAAATGTTAAGAATAGTTTTTACGTCAAATTTTAAAATATACCAAAGTTAAGTTAGAAACTATAAGATTATAATCAAAGTTAGAATAATTAATGGTTACTTTTATTGAGAAAACAAAACTGATTTTTATGCATAATTTCATTAATAAACGAATATTCGCAGTGGCCTCTAGTTTGAAGCCACGTGTCCGACCGACAATTGGAGGGTTCTTCTGACTTTCCCATCGGACTTCTTAGAGCATCTTTCGACACGTCACATTCAACTTGCTCGTCTCTCTTTATTTTGTTTTTTAATTACTAAAAGATCTTTGAAAACCATCGAAATTGATTAATTCCACGTCACCCACTTGTGGATGAAACTTCGGTCAAAGAGATTTTTTTTTCTCTTGCTTTTGAAATAGTAAAAAGAAAGAAAAAAAAACACTATTTAACTTTAATTTTTTTCTAAAAAAATACTCATAAATTTTCAATAATTTTAATAATATTGTTGAAATTAAAAAAAAAATCCAAAAAAAACCATTAAACTAATAAATAAAAAAAAAAACATATTTATATTAGTTTTGTACGAAAATAGTTAATATTGTTTAATGAATGCTATTAAAATTTTAAAATGGTTTAAAAAATACTATTAAAACTTTAAAAAGAAAAAAAAATTAAAAAAAAAACACCTTTAAATTATTCTAAAAACTTCAAAAATATTTTTAAAATTTTTTAAAATTTTTCCTTCGACCATATATTAACAATTTACTTTTTTTCCCTTTTATTCTTTTAATATTCTCTCTCCCTAAACAAACATGTTTTTTTCTTTCTTGGGAATATAAGAATTCTAGGTCCACTCACTTTTTTATTTTGTTAAATTTATATATAATATATATATATATATATTTTTCTTTTTAAATATCAGATTATTGAGATAATCGTTGAAATAGAGGTAAAAAATGGCAACATTTGAGCACCTCTTACTACATTAAATATACAATAATGATGCGGGTTACCGTCCTGACCAGTCCAACCACATCACGTGGGGGCCCACCTTCCAAGAGAGATCACAAAACGACAACTAACACCTCCTGCACCAACGGCGTCATTCGATAAATAATCGAAGACAGCGACGTGAAAGCGAACCAACGTAACGGCGATATGACGGTTCCCGTTATAATGGGGTACGTGTGAGTTGGACCCCCTGAAAGACGGAGTCGTCTTCCGCCACGTACCTCCACTCTTTTTTTTTTTTTTTCTCTCTTTTTGCTCAAACAAGGCGGCCAATCGCCTTCTGTTTTCACGCGTCATTTTGCGAGAGGTCGGTGAGATTAAGATTAGATCAACGCTCTCTTTTTCCTCTTCACCATCCTCGAAACGACGCCGTATTTCACTATCCTCATTTCTCTCTCTTCGCTTTTTTCCCCTTTATATCTCTCCTCCTCACGCCTTCTGAACTCCAAACAAAGCCTTGCAGAGCAGAATTACCAAAAAGAGCAAAACAAATATGTGAAAAGACGATTATACCCTTCTTCTTCTTGTTCCAGTCTCTCCCGTTCTGTTATTGGTCCCTGCGTGAAGAAGAGACTGAGTGTTAGAGCTTCTAGTTTCAGATAAACGGAACTCATCAGCCCCGTAGCGTTCGCTCTTTTGGTTTTTATACTTTTTTTTTTTTTTTTTTTCGTTTGTTTTTTTTGGGAGATTTCTCAGGGAGTTTGAGATCTTTCATCCATGGGGACTGAGATTCTACGACCTCAGGATTGTTTGAAAGGAAGGATCGGAGTTCCGCTGGTGGCCTTTTGTCGTCGCCGGAGTTCTTATGGAAACTCTGATTCGAATGTTTGTAACTATAATTCTAGATCCAACCGGAAATCAGCGGCTAGGTCGGAGCGGCCGGAGCAGCGGAAACGGTTTGTTTCGAATCAATCGGAGCCGTCGGTCTCGAAGAGATTGAGTTCCGAGGATTCGAAGACCAGGACGAATAGTTTGGTGATGGAAAATGTTACGATCTTGAGGCGTGGTGAATCGCTCGATTTGAAGACGAAGGGCGAAGCTCTGAAGAAGGAAGCTGATAATCTGGTCGTGTGTGGGACCGAGAGGTTGGGGCCGGCGCCGGAAATGGTACTGAAGCAGATCCGGATTGTCGACGTTAGGTATCCGATTATTGGGAAAGCCGATGTTTACGCCGGATCAGCGTTTTCGATGTCTCCATCTCCTAGTTCTCTTCCATTACCGTCGTTCTCGAAGAAGAAACAGGTATCCACCATCGTTGATGACTCGGCCACAAGAGATCTGAGGCGTTTGCTTCGTCTCGACGCATGAGATCTTCTCCAGATCGTGAATTTGGATCTGAAATTCGTAGTAAAAACCACCTCTCGTCCATTTCTCATCTCTCATCTTCTTACGTCTCTTTCGATCTGTCCAGATCTGAACTGCCATGATTTTTTTAAACGGTGGTAGATCTGCAAATCGAGCCAACGAGACAGGTAAATCATAATATTATGTACCTATGATGATCCAGGTTTGTTAAACGGGGAAGAAATTCTGTGTATTGTAAGACTTTAGCTAAAACCTAGGCCGGAAGAAGAAGTAGTTTGCGCTTTGAATGATTAATTTTCTGCTCTGTTGTGAATTCCTGTCAAAAGGCTTTGTTAGAGCTTTTTTCGTTCTTCTGTATGATATTATGAATCTTTAACATAATAATAAGAAACAATTCTGATGAAGATTTTGTAGAACTGGCCGCCATGGCCATTGTTCTTGCAATTCTTCACCATTTTATTTTAACTCCCCTTTCCTCTTCCTCTGAATTCTCTTCCCTATCCTCTCCCATGTCTAATTTCCGCCATAGAGAATCATTTCGAACCTGTATCAGTTCTGAAAACAAAACTGCAAAGATATCTGATGAAACCCGCCATTAAAGATCACATCGAGCTCGTCGTATCAGCTCAGAAAAGAAAAATTCAAAGTGACTTCAGTCAAGTTCAGACAGTACAGAAATGAAACAAAATTCTGATGTGTATTCATTGAAATCATGATCGCCGCCATTGGTTTTTGTTTTTTCTTTTTTGGAGACAGGGAAGCGGCGGCACATGGGAGGCATGAAGGAGAAGAAAAGGGTTTTGAGTTCGGTAGGTGGAGGATGGAATCACAAGAAAGATACATCTTTTTTTTCTTTTTCTAAAAAGAATAAAAAAGCTGGCAGCATGTAATAATAAATATTAATTAGGTTAAATAACCAATTTAGTATTTTTTTTAAATTTGTATTATATATATATATATATATATATATATATATATATATATATATATATTTTTTTTTTTTTTTTTTTTTTTTTTTTTTTTTTTTTTTTTTTTTTTTTTTTTTTTTTTTTTTTTTTTTTTTTTTTTTTTTTTTTTTTTTTTTTTTTTTTTTTTTTTTTTTTTTTTTTTTTTTTTTTTTTTTTTTTTTTTTTTTTTTTTTGTTGATATTATGATATTTTATTAAGTTTCAAGACAGTCTAATATATTTTATTAAATTTGGATTCTTTTTACTTCACCGATTTTAATTATTTGAAATTCCTTAAATTTATATGAGTGTTACAGATTAAGAAAACATTATCTTTACCTCTGTGTTTCCATTCTGCATAATTTGCGTCCGACCTGAACGAAGAAAAATGGGAAAACCGGCAGTTACGTCGCCGGAGAATCACTCAGAGCGACGCGGACGAGAAAGTCAAGCAGCTAAACGAATGCTCGTCCTTCACTTCAGGTTCTTCATATCTGTAAAGGAGCAGAGTGTTGAGAGATTTTGGCTTTACTAGATACATAATTTTGTTGTATTAACATAAACATTGACGATGTTTTTCAGGCCCCTGCTAGATCCACCTTAAGCAAGAGAAAAACGAGACATTTCCGTTTAAAAACCGTAATGCTGACAGTGATACGTAATAAACTAAACGAACAATATCTACTAACGGACTTGTGGTTGTTACAAATGGTAATAGAGCTAAGACACTGGGCAGAGGACACTGACCCCAAAGGAGAGGGGGTGTGATTATGAGATTTCTCATCGGTTGGAGACAGGAACGAAACATTCCACCTCTCTCTAGTAGATGCATTAAAACCGTGAGGCTGGCGACGATACGTAACAAATCAAAGTAGACAATATTCGTTAGTTGAAACCCTCTATCTCTATCAACTTATTTGGTGGAGTGCTAAGCTGAAAGATGAGTACATTTGTTTCACCTGTAGGCATAAACAAAGTGAAGTCAGAAACTAAGAGGCGATTGCTTCTAAGCAAAACTAAGATTAATCTGATTGTTAGTCAATACTTACCTTTCAGGATGCATTTCAAGTCTCGGTGGAGGAATGTTACAGCAACATTAGAGTCCTAAACAGGTTTTTCTCAATGAAAATGATTAAATTCAGCAGTAAAAAGATATAGAACAGGAAAGACTACCATTACAAAACTCTCTCACTACTTCAGGTTGGAACTACGATCGCCGGGTTCCAATTCGTTGCAACGACATGTTGAGAGTTCGGTACATCAGCGAAAGCCAAATTTCAACCCGGATGTTTTCAAGAAACCCGGGCAACCACTCCCCTAAAGCAACCACTCAAACAAGGGAGGAGCAACAAGGTTCACAGGCTAATGAATATAACACCTATGCTTATATGAAAGGATAACAGATAAAAGAAAAAAATTTGTCATAATTTTTTTTTTTCAGTCCAACGTAATCCTGCATTCTGCCGTGGAAAATTATACCATGATCATATACAAGAGCATGAAAAATGTATCCAAAATGATTATTGTGTGCTTCATACATTAGACAAGCCTTTGATATGAATAATAATGATGGTTATATCATCGGTACGATTTTCATGTTCCATCCATAGTTTATACGACTCGGCAGCTATGGCGGTACATGCATCTTGAGGATCTGCATAACTTGATGCCTATATAGAGAACAAAAAAACATCAAAATTTGTTAAGTAGAAAGTAGATATGACCCCAAATTATCATAATTTGCAATGAAAAAGGAATGATAGTAGTAATATATATATAATGATCTAAGATCTTTGTGGTTATGATTAAAAATTAGTACAAATTAGCCAGTAGGAATCTTGTTCATTGTGTTCAGCAGTTCAAAGGCAAGAGCAACAAGTAAACATATGAAGTGTAATAGCCCAAACTCACTACTAGCAATATTGTCTGTTTTGGCCTGTTACGTATCTCGGTTAGTCTCACAGTTTTAAAACGTCTCTACTAGTAAGAGGGCTCCACACCCTTAAAAGGAATGTTTCGTTTCTCTCTCCAACTGAATTGGGATCTCACAATCCACCCGCTTGAGGCCCGAACGCTCCCCTTGGCACACCGCTAGCAAATACTGTCTAGCCCGTTATGTATTGCCGTCAACCTCACGATTTTAAATCGCGTCTACTAGGGAGAAATTTTCACTTTCTTATAAAGAATGTTTCATTCTCCTTTCCAACTAATGTGGGATCTCACAATCTACCCCCTTGGGGCCTAGTGTCTGGCTCTAATATCATCTGTAACAACTCAAACCCACTTCTAGCAAATATTGTTCACTTTGGCCGGTTACATATCACCATCAACCTCACGGTTTCAAAAGAAGTCTACTAGGAAAAGGTTTCCACACCCTTACAAGGAATGTTTTGTTATCCTCTCCAACCGATGTGCGATCTCACATAAAGATAGGCTAATGAATATCTTCACAAGTGCTTCATATATACAAAACATTGACAAGGCAATCGAGATATCATAAACAAGAAGAATCCATCAAAGAAAGATGTAAACGAAACGTGGTTTGCTAAATCTAGCTAGAAATTGATAGCATTACATACCATATCAACAACAGTTTGGCTTGAAAGGAACTCGAAAACTCCATCACTAGCAACCACAAAGAAAAGATGATTGGGGTTGAGCTGAAGAACTAAAACCTCAGGAACAGCATTTACACCGATCTGCTCGGCGGTACTATCACCTATGCTCCTGGTAAATGCAGTCCCAGGATACAGCCCATTTTGAACCCAAAGTCGAGGCGGATCGCCACCCTGACTTTCTTCATCACCCCAGCATTGAATATCAGGATCCACAAGTCCTTCCACTTGATCAACACTAAGAACTCTAGCTCCACAAAGCTTAACCCTCTCATATTCATCCTTTCTAAATGGTGTTTGATCATTTGACAAATCTTTGGCAAGAACACAATTCCCTTCTTTAACAGCAATTGCAGCTCTTGAATCACCCACATTGGCTACATAAAGAGTATCCCCAACAACAAGGACTGTAATTGCTGTTGTTCCACTCATGGAATCATCTATTTCACTTGAATGCAATTCATCATTAGTGGATAAAAACGCTGAATTATAAGCTTGAACAGGATCATCTAACAATGTGGGATCATTACATAGCTTTTCTATTAACCTATCCTTCACAAAATTTGAACACTGCATTCCAAATTGACCATGTCCATCAAAAACACCAAAAAAATGAGCATTCGGGTTACCTTGAACATTTGTCCTAATACAGAAACTGTCTTGATTTTCTTTATCAGGAGATTCAGGGTAGTAACCACGCTGAGCCAATACCAAGTAATCCAAATGATAGTTGTGGGAAGCCACAGGAATAAGCTCCAATGCTCTTTCTATCACAGTGCTGTTATCTTGTAGACAGTAAGGAACCCCTTGGTGAAAGTCCTGGGATTCTCCAACCAATGATTTTGGGTACCGACAGCAACATTTTGTGTGGATACAACCCATTTTTCAAAAGCAGCAAGAGAAAAACCAGAAAAACTACCGAGTTCGAACTTGCCGACAAGGTGTTCGACGAAAGTCCTCAAAGAGGAAGTAACAATAATCGAAGCTAAACTATGAAATACTCAACTCTTGGTACAAATCCAGATGCTTCTGACATTATCTAACCAAATCTCATCAATTTTCCAGGGGGAAAAGCCCATATTCTCAGAAGCAAAGACGAGGAAACGAAAAAAGAACAGAGCCTGAAACAGAATGACCGGCAAAAACCTATGAGAGAAATCTCTTTAAGCTTGTTACCCTTTTCTTTTCCTTGATGCAAAAGTTTCCCTGACGCAAAAGCAAGCACCAAATAGAAGATCGAAAATCAAGAAATTACTCTGAACGACCAAAAATAAACAGAGAACCGAAATAAAGACATATTTGAAGTGAGTGAGTGATTGATAAGAAACAGTGTGTTTAAAGCATAAACAACAAAAGGGGAAGGCGAAATGAAATTTGGAAAGTTTTTTATCGCTTTTGGAGAAAGATCACGGCTCGAGGAGCTAGGAAAAGCTAAAGTAATCAAGAAAAAAATCAACCCTAAGAACAAAATTTGGTAGAAACAGTAATGAAATCGTGGGGTTTTACGAAAATCACTCTAAGCTTTCAGTGAGCGAGGAACAGAGAGAGAGAGAAAGAACATAGGAAAGGCACGAGATTGGACAGCGAAGTGACCCAAAGAACAGTAAGAAAAATGTGTTCATCTTGAAACACGCCAAGTTTTTCTCGCAATGGAAAAACCAGCACTTCGGAAGGGGTGAATTCTATAATAGCTTCCCGTGAACTGTGAACCCATATTTTCGTTTTTTTATTTTTATTTTTATAAATATTTTTTTAACTCAAACCATCTTTATTAAATAATTAATTTAAGTTCGACTCATTAATTTAAATTTTTGTTTTTAATAAAAGTAAAATATCTATTTATTTATTTTTAAATATTTAATTAAAATTTTTATTCTTTGAAAAATTAACGGAATAATAAATAATAAAAATAAATTTTATGAAAAGATTCTGATTTGAAATCTGATTTTTTACCCCCAATCAATTTAGTGCCTTGGTTGACTGATCCACTACAACCATTTCTATGGGACAAATGTGGTCACAAATTTCTAACCATTTGATGCGTAGAAATTTTGTGATGTCAATTTAAAGCATATTTAAAGGGTACAAAACACTCGTTTTCTTCTTCCACCAGCCCCACATTTATTATCGAACTAAAAAAATTATTAAAAAGAATTTAATAATTAATTCCAATATTTATATTTTTATATCGCCAATCTAATTTGGTTCGCAATATAAAAAAATTATTTAAGAAATTACTAATTCATTCCAATAGGAAAATATAATTTGGTTGAGGCCTTTTCGGCCCATTAGGAGATCCAATAGGCCCAAACAAGGCCCTATTGTAAGAGAGTAAAATAACCCAGCCTAATTTTATTTATCTATTTATTTATTATTATTATTATTAATTCTTTTAATTTTAAAGATGATACTTTACGAAAATTTCTCTCTAGGAGATGCACGGGGTAACATGTAATAGGTAAAAGCAAATAATATCTGTCAATATCACCAGTAGACTTTGACGGTTAAAAATGGTATCAAAGTTAGACATTGGATGGCGGTGTGCTAGCGAAGATACTGACCCTTTGTGAAATTCTATGTTGATTGGAGATGGGAATGAAACGTAAGTGTGAAAACCTAACTTCTTTATAATATGCCTGTTTTAAAACCGTGAAGCTGGCGATTATAAGTACTAGTTGAAGAGGAGGTGTTTTGAAGAATCGGAAGAGATTTGAGTAAGGAAGTGGATAAGGCTATTGATTCCGGGCACTGCATTTGGCATTAGTTACTCATAAAAAAGCCTGCCTACGCGCTCAATATATTAGAGAATAGAATCTGAGACTGTCCAAAGACAAAACGACAAAAAAATGAATTTGTGTTCTCGCCCATCTTCCACAGCTAATTGCGCTTTGTTTCTCTATGTCTTACTATGTCGGATTTCCACATTCTTATAAGAAATGCTTTATACTCTTTTTCGTGTGATCTCACAATCTACTTGTTTTGGAAACCGAGCGATCTCGTTAGTAACACCTCTCGGTGTCTAGCTTTTATATTATTTGTAACAGCTCAAATCCACCTTAGGCAAATATTGTCCGGTTTGACCCGTTACGTATCGTCGTCAACCTCATGATTTTAAAATGCGTCTACTAGGGAGAGGTTTCTCACCAATGATTCGTTTTTCTTTCCAACCGATGTGGGATCTCACATTTACCAACTGTGTTTTTAAACGTCATAGATAGAACAAGTCCAATTAAGTTAATACGTCGATAGGTAGGTTTTCGAGAACGAACATAAGAAACCCGACGGTCGGGGGGAGGAAGAAGAAGAAAAAGGGAAAGTAAAAGAGTGAAAGTGGAGGAGGCATTAGAGGGGAATAATGGGCACGTGCAGAATCTGTTTGATAAAATGTCTGGCCAGGGAACCATTCACTATTAGCCTCTCCCCATCATCATGTGCTGCCCTGGGTGGGTGCCTTCCACGCCACCCTTCATCATGCAAACATTTTCAAACCCATCATCCAAATTCCAAATTCCCGTCACAAATTCAAATTCTCGTACTCCATAAATAAGGTAGAAAATTTAAGATCAAGAGGCTGACGACGATACATAACGGGTCAAAACGGACAATATCTAATAGTGGTGGTCTCGGACTGTTACATTAAATCTTTCGAACTTCAAAACCATGCATGCATAAGGTAGAAGATTCAAATTCTACCGTAAAACAACAACACGACAATATAAAATCTCGACTGTTACACTTTTTCTTAAAGCAGAAGGTTCAAATTGTCGTACCTTACTAAAGAAAAATTTAAATGTAAGATCCCACATCGGTTGGAGAAGGGAACAAAACATTTCTTAGAAGGGTGTAGAAACATCTTTCTAGTAGACACGTTTTAAAACCATGAGACTGACAGTGATACGTAATGGATTGAAGCAGACAGTATCTACTAGCGATGGTCTCGGGTTGTTACACTAAATCTTTCAAACTTCAAACCTGTGCATGCATAACGTAAAAGATTCAAATTATACTGTAAAACAATACGACAAGACAAAATCTCGACGGTTACTCTTTTTCTTAAAGCAGAAGGTTCAAATTCTTGTACCTTACTAAAGAAGAATTGAAATTGATCGACCTTGAAAACCGTGCATGCATAAAGGATCCATTTTCAAGATGGAAGATGCAAATTCTACCGTAAAACAACAATGACAGGAGAAAATCTCGACTATTACACTGAATCTCGAGCTATGAAGATGAAGCTTCTCAATTCTTTTTCTTCCACTACTACAAAATTCTTAGGCGTGACAAGCCTAAGTGGGGTGCATTATCATGATATTTATGATCTCTTTGGTTTGAATTTTTTTTTCTTTTTTAATTATTATTATTATTTCTTTTCAAGCCCCCCACAAGCTTCTTGGTACTTCCACGTCACCATCCTATATCTCTATTTGGAACTTCCCTTTCCCTTTTTTGGATTTTCTAATTTTTATTTTTAAATTGAAAAGAGAAAAAGAAAAAGAAAAGTCAACCCCACATTCATCACTCTCATTAACCAATTGAATTCCTCCACATCATCATCATCTTCACTCCTTGCAGCAATGTGGCCTATTATAATAATAATAATAATAATAATAATAATTCAATCTAACTCCTCACTAGGAAAAAAAAAACCCCGCCGTTTCGAAACTTTTATCTACCACCGCCGCCGCATTCCCCTGTCTTTTTCCGGCGAGCGGTAAACGTCTGAAACAGGACGCTCCCAGCCGCTGGAAACTCATCCGCCATACAACTCCGGCATTTCAACCCAAGCGGCTCCATTGCTCCGGCTACCCTCGCCCATAGTCGATGCGACGCGGTGGTCGCCGTCGTCACCGAAACGGAGACCTTCCCCGGTCGGAAAACCTGCACCGCTCTCCTTAACATCCGTATAAAATCGTCGCCGTCGGCGCCGTCCTCGTCATCCTCATCGTCATAAATGGAACCAACGCACTCAAAACTAGCGTAACTATACCCATCCTCCGGCGTAACGTGAATCGTGGAATATCGATCGCCGTCGATTCCATTCATCGAGTAACCACAAGGATCGAACGCAAAATCACAAATGAGAGCATTGGGGTTAATTTTATGGATTCCGGCGATCTCCGTCATCTCTTTGCCAGCAGCGTCGCCGGTTTTTCCATCGCCAGGACGGCGGAAGAATTTCCTCGCCTGAGTCCGGTCAAGCTCCGTCATACATATTTCAACGGTGTATAAATCCGAAGGCGGGAAATGAACCAGGGGAGTTTGATCGCAGGCGGAGAACACGTGCCAGACATGTGCGGTGACGTTAGAAGGCATAACGGAAGCTTTGCGGTAACAGAGGTGGTTAGGGAGGGAATCTTCTAAGTACACGACTTCTTCGTGGAAGCTTGTGTGGGGGAAAGGCTGTGACAGGGGGAAGATAAAGTTACCGCGGGTGTAACGGCAGGAGGAGATCGTAAGGCCGAGATTAAGCGCGTGGTGAAGCAATGGAGGGATGGATTTGAGTAGCTGTGTGGTGCCGCAGGTTTTGATTATGATTTTGGTTGGGTAAACGAACAGGCTGGATTCAGACAACACATAGGCGTCGAAGTAGTGGTTGCCGACGGCGGAGACGACGGAGCATTGGACTTCGTGGAGGATTTGTTCTAGAGAATCGAAGGAGAGTTGACGGAGGCCCATGTTGAAGACGGGATCGTCACCGGAGAAATGAAGCTCCAGGCGCTTTTCGAAGCCTTCGAAACCGGAAACGGCCATTGGGAGAGAGAGAGAGAGGAATTACAGTAGAGGGTGAGAGAGAGAATGGGAGAGGGTGAAATTTATAGGGTGGCGGAGAGGGAGGGGGAGAGAGAGGAGGAGAGAGAGAGAGAGAGGTTAAGAGAGCATGCGGATGAGGCAACCAAGAATCATGATTGTGAGCATTATAATGAAGTGAATAAGAGATGATAATGCTACAACATAACAATAAAGTGAAACCAAATCTCTCTCTCTCTCTCTCCCTCTCTCTCCCTCTCTCTCCCTCTCTCTCTGCTTAGAGAGGGAAAGACGATGAACAATCAAAACAGTGGAGAGTTTGAATTTACTCCAACATTGTGACAAACGTTGATTAAAAAAATAATAAAAATAATAAATAAATAAATTTTTAGAAAGTTCTAGAATTTGTCTTTATAATTTGTGGTAATTAGTTGGTAGGATTATATCAAATTATAAGATTATATTTATGAGATTTTGATAAAATTTTAGCTTTTGTCAACGCATCAACCTACTAGTAATCCGGGAGAAGATTCGAGGCGTCAGCAAAACACTACTGTCTACTTTAAGAACAAAAACCCCTTAGTGCCTTGGGACGGGAGTGGGGGACGACCCTACGTGCAGGTAATGCAGCACCAGTTCTACAAAGTCATAATCAAATTTTTCCGTTGGCTTTCCCAATTCCTTCGTGAATTAGAATGAAAGGGCTAGAAGTTCTAGCTCCTAACTATTTCGATTGCTTATTATTACGGCAGAATTAAACGCGCTATTTTCAAATCAATTAATAGACAGAATAATCTCGAAACTAAATTCTAACATTTTTTTCGAACTAAATTTATAATTTAACTACGAAAATTTATAATTTACCTTTTATTCAGATTAAAAATTTTATTTAATATTTTTAAACTCGAAATATTTATAACAATTTTTTTGG